GTGAAGGTACGCGTGTATTTCACACTTTCCCGAAGCGCTCATCGCGATTTTTTCTTCTAAAAGAAATAACTATTTTTCAGGCTATGGCTGAATTTGCGCAGGCCTGTTGTGTCAGGTCCAAATTCGAACCCTCCGGATACTCTCCGCGCAACTTAAAATTCCGTAGTACGTGGTGATTGCGATGAGCCCCGCAATTTTATTCAGTTCGAACTCTCTCTCCCGCCGACTACGAAGGTACTTGGCCCAGCGCAAAGGTCCTGTTGCCGCCTCACCGATTTTCGTCGAGCCGAGGGGGTTGGGGAAATATGCCGTCTCGGAGCCGGTGGGGGTGGCTCAAAGCGAGCGGCCCGGGCGGAGGAGTCGCGAGTTGGAACATTCTTTGTATCCGGGAGTTTTCACGGCGGAGCGGAGGCGGTAGAGAGCGGAGGCGGCAGAGAGAGGAATGCGTCCACTTTGCGCGCTCTGCTCGAGGAGATTCGACATCAAAGTCCGAATCGCTGCAAAGGCGAGGCGGACGCGCATCTCGGATCGAAGGCCAACTCCCCCGTTGCCCGTGGCACGCAATGCTCGCTGCGATGAGCCTCGGGACGCTTGAAAGCATGTGCTACCCGTGGCTCATCCAGAGATGTACTTACGGCTCTCTTCCGTAGGAAGGAATATAATAACGTTCCGAAGGGATAACGCCCGAAAACATTCTGCCCTTGCCAAATTTTGATCAATTAAGGCACGATTTTTCTATGAGGGGTACCAATAAAGGCAGTTGCCGGATCCACCCAAGGTAGATTTACACAGGTATGGAAAAGTTGAAAATTTCCCATGAGCCTCAGTACGTGTCACATGACTACGTGACGTAGGTTAAGGGGCCCGTTTTTTAATTAAATTACAATCAAATTAACATTCAAACGTTTGTGCGTTTAAACGTCAAAATTAATATCGCATTATCAAAATTGTGCAAAAAATCCCACAAAATTTTGACAAACGATAAACCGAACATAATAAATCAAAATAATCAAAACATTCAAAATGGCTGACGTTAAGGGGCCGCTGGAGAGCCAATCAGAGGCCAGTTGTTAAGTTCTGTCCATACCTGTGTAAATCTACCTTGGATCCACACTTGCTTTTCCTCAACTCGACGATTTCTTGCTATTTGAAGGTCTGTCGTTGAATACATTACGGAATGCATCGTGATTAGGTTAATTTTGGTCTCTTTGGTCATTGCCTCGAATCGTTGCCTGCGTTGCCGTTAAAACCGTTGACCTTAACATAAATCTGGGGGCAAATTTCAGCGGTAGTTTCACGGATAATGTTAATCCTGAAAGTGCTAACCATAAAAATGCTGATCCTGAAAGTGTTAACATGATGATGTTGATCCTGAAAGTAATCACCATATCAATGTTAATCGTGAAAAATGTTGACTGAAATTTGTTCGCTGTGGGAAGTTGGTAAGAAATACGCCGCGACAAGGCGGGTTCAAGTAGATATTGGCACAATCTCAGAGCAGTTACGAAGCATTTTCAAAAAAATTAGTTCGTACGTAAAATTTTCTTCGAGACAGCTATCGCTAACTTAAAATCTACGGCAATTTGATAGCCACCGGAAAAACTCAATAGGAAATAAGTGACACAAGTTGAGGGGACTAAACCAGAGATGTAAAAGTGAATCCACCGAATTTTATACAGCTCAAGGAAAACAATTAAATTAAACACTAAGAAATGACAATTTAAGTATATTATGCACGTGCTGAAACTGTTTAAAATTTAAATTTGATCGTAGATTTATACGAGCATTTTTTTGTGTGTTGTGTGTGTTTTCCACCTCCTTTATTACGTAACGCTTCATCTCTACAACTTTTTGCTCCAGATTAATACAATTTAACGAGCACCGTAGTCATCTGTTTCGGAGTTATTTTAGATAAATTGGACAGAGACTCAGGATGCATCTGAACGAACTGGCTCAACAAGCTGTAGTGAATAAAACCCAGTTCGAAAGCTCAAGAGGCATAAGCCTTATGATCCGGCCTTCGGGTTGTTCAATTAATCGCGGTGTCTCTCCGTAGACAACTTAAAAGACAGCGCAGTATGGAGCTGTGTATCATTACCGTATATAACTACTCTTAAGTATACCACTTAGAGTGTTATGGGGATGCTAGGCCAAGGTAGGTAGCGGAATTAACCTTCATCTAAGTCTCTTTTTATTTTTGTATATATTTACATTGTAGCGGTCAGGGGGCATACATAGCCCCCTAGTAACCCGATAATAGCCTAAGATGCTGAATGTCTTTAAATAAGTTAACTAACTAACTAGTTAACTACCTCACTACTTTTGTTTTCTATTTTTTTCTTTTCTCGATTTTGTATACAAGAACATGTATGCATGTAATTGAATGAATGTAAGGAAGGATAGCGAAGGAAGGTTAAGGAAGCAGTCAGTATTTAGCATGAATGCTTTATTGTTGAACAAACAAAAATCTAGCTTTGGTTCGTTTTTAAGTTTAAGCACACTATTAAAATTCATGTAATTAATAGCCCCGTAAGGAGCTAGTCGTGCAATTTTTTCGACAGTAAAATAAATTAATAAATAAATAAATTGGAGGCGCGAGGCGAATGTCGAACTCTTGCTGTATAATGCAGGTGAGTTGACAAAACCTTTCGATGATTTCATAAACGCATAACTTTTAAATCGCACTCAGATTTTCGAAATGAATTTAATTTATTAACTTATTTTTAGTGGGTAAATAACCTTATTACAATGCTGGAGTAGTCATGGACTCATTCGTTGGTTGTGACCGTAAGCCTACAATCCGATGAGATTTTTTTTTTTTATTCGTACAAGTATAACAATCAGTACAAAATAAGTGCTTACAGACAATTTAAATTGTCTTTTTAAGCTAATTTTAACTTTAAGTGATAACTTAATATTATACACATTTAAACTTTACATAACAAGAATATAAATTGATTTTAGCTATGTTAGGTAAGAATACTTAGCTATGTTAGGTAAGAATATTTAGCTATGTTAGGTAAGAATACTTAGCTATGTTAGGTAAGAATAGACTAGCTATGTTAGGTAAGAATATTTAGCTATGTTAGGTAAGAATATGGTTGTGACCGTAAGCCTACAATCCGATGAGATGGAAGTTTTGATACCGCTTATCAAATCTCACTGTTGCTAGATCTGATTCCTTTCGTACTCAGTAAAATGGGAACGATTCCACTCCAATCCATACAATTCTTCTTGATTTGTTTCTACTGATAAGGTTTGCCAAAATTCCCTCCAGACCTCGGTTAGCAGTTACTTTTCAAGGACATGAGTTAACACTAACTTATTTGTGAAATTTTTAGAGCAAAATTCTCGCCATGGGGAGAGAGAACCAAACAAAATGTAAGCTAAAACTCTGTAGCACAGTTATATTATAATGATCACAGAATAAACTTCTGAAGCCTCCTGTAATCGGAGTCGCCCTGGACCTTTTAAGTCATCGAGAGATTAGATAGAGAAAATAGATAGCCACAGGAAAAATTCAATAAGTGACACAAGTTGATGGGAATAAACCGGAGATGTGAAAGTGAATGCACGGAACATTTTACAGTTCGGGGAATGAAATTAAATAACACACTGGGTAATGACAATTTAAGTATACACGGTGCCCGGAAGTTAATGTACTTAACTTTCAGGATCGATTTTACGGCTCAAAATATGACTTTTTTTTCTCCGAAACACATATGCGCGAAAACGCTTCATAAGTCAGCTATTCGCTTCCAAAGTCACCATTTTTTTCTTAATCAAATTGATGTAACTCCTCGTTATTAAGTCGTGAGTTGCTGAAACTTTGTGCAGGGGGGTACTCTCTTGCGTACTGTTCATTTGTCGTGTTCTCAAGAACTTGCGTCTTTATAAAATTACGTTACGAGAGTTTCCGAATTTTAAATTCCGATAACTTTTTTGGTACATGCTTTTTGGAAAAACGGATTACAGCACATTAAAGAGCGCGAAAAATCAAGGCCACGTAATGTGGCACAAAATTTTCCAGAAACGCGTCATTTTGACGCAAAGGAGCTTTGAAAAAGTTCCAGATTTTCGAAGCTCCTTGCTTGGTAGGCAATTTTTAGTACAGGGACTATACAAAAAATTGCCTTTGGGGGCTTCGAAAATCTGGAACTTTAACAAAGCTCTTTTGCGTCGAAACGACGCATTGCTGGAAAATTTGGTGCCGTACCTCTTGGCTTTGATTTTTCACGCTCTTTCACGTACCGAAGTCCGTTTGTCCAAATGTCATCTACCAAAAAGCTTATCGCAATTTAAAAATTCGGGAGCCCTCGTACCGTCATTTTCCATATACATACCTCCTTGAAAACACGATAAATGAGCAGTGCGCTAGAGAGTACCTTTCTGCACGAAGTTCAGCTACTTACAGCTAAATAACGAGGAGATTGCAACAATTTGAAAGAAAAAACTTGGTAACTTTGGAAGCGCATGGCATCACTCATGAAGCCTTTTCGGGCATATGTGTTTGGGAGAAAAAAGACATATTTTGAGCCGAAAAATCGATCCTGAAAGTAAAGCACGTTAACTTTCGGACACCCGGTATTATGCACGTACTGAAACTATTTAGAACTTGAATTTGATCGCAGATTTTTACGCGCGTTCTGAAAGTTGTGTGTTTTCAACCTCCTTTATTACATAACGCTTCATCTCTAGAATTTTTTGCACCAGAATAATAGAATTTAACAAGCACCGTAGCCGTCTGTTTTAGAGCTATTATAAATTGGAGGCGCGAGGCGATGTCTCATTCTTGCTGTATAACGCAGTTAAGTCGACAGAACCGTTCGATGATTTCATACACGCACAACTTCAAAATCGCAAGAACCGCACTCAAGATTTTCGAAATGAATTTAATTTATTAACTTATTTTTAGTAGGTAAAGAACCTTATTACAATGCTGGAGTAGTCATGGGCTCATTCGTTGGTTGTGAACGTAAGCCTACAATCCGATGAGATGGAAGTTTTGATACCGCTTATCAAATATCAATATTACTAGATCTACAGCCTGATCGTCGAAATTTATGTCGGCTCGACAAGAATCGAAAATAGATTTATTACACGGCGCAGATAGGGCTATGTCTTGTCTTATCTTGCTGACATAGCCAGTTAATTAGTTTCAAAAATCCGGCTGCTGGTTTCTTTCGTCTGCTTCAGTAGTATGGGAACAATTCCAATCAAATTTATACAGTTCTTCTTGTGTTGTTTCTACTGGTAAGATTTGCCAAAATTTCCTTCAGACCTCGGTTAGCAGTTACTTTTCAAGGACATTTGTAAACACGAACTGATTTGTGAAATTTTCAGAGCGAAATTCGCCAAGGGGAGAGATTACACAAACAACATGTAAGCTAAAACTCTTTAGCACAGTCTTATTATAATGATCACACGATAAACTTTTGAAGCCTCGATCTTCTAATCGGAGTCGCCCTGGACCTCGAGAGGTCAATATATTCACCCTCCTAATGAAATAGTACTTCCAAGATTTTACTTACAAGTGAATGTAATTGGAGCCATTTTTTAATTTCTAGCTGAAAAGCTGTCCTTCGCGAGTATGTCGATCGAATCCATGTCGATTGAATGGACCACTAGACAAGGTACGAATTTCAGCATTCTGATACATGTTTCGTAAGTAAAATTTCCCGTAGAGCACGATGCGCACATGAAAATTACCGAAATTAACTCCTTACGAAGATATTTAATGATTCTTGATGCGTGAATTCAAACCACCTGCTCATGAAAACTCAATGCTCCACGTGATTCACATTGTGCGCTAAGCGTTATCATGACAGTCTGCGATATAAAAATCTGGCAACCTCAATCTTGACGCTTTGGCTCAGCTATAGCAAATTGCTGATAGTTTGAACAACACATGGTGGGAAATGAACATTGTTCGATTGAGAAGCTTGCTGAAACCGTTGTAGTGGGCGATTTGACTCACGTAGAGCTTTGAGTTTCTTGTGAGCGGGCAGTTCAAATTCCTCGTAACCAATGTGAAATAAAAACGTTAATATCTTCGTTGGGAGTTGGTTTCAGTAATTTTCGTTGTGTAAATCGTGTACTACGTGAAGTGCTGGTTAAGAAACATGTATCAGATCGCTTAATTAAATTCGTACCTTGTCTAGTGGTCCATTGCGCTTCTATTTTTCGATTGAACTGTGTCGAGTGAACCGACGTCGATCAAAACAATCTCGACGAAAATTTTTTTATTTATTTTTTTTTTTTCAAGGATTTTAAATAGATATTTTCAAGAGAAAGCAATTTCGATTGAATCTATGGCGATTGAATTTTGTTTTCATTTTCCGATCGACTTGTGTCGACGATTCTTGTACCCACCCTCGAATAGTCGCTGAATCATTCGAAGTCATGACCTTTACCGCACAAATCGCTTGATGCCTTTGAGTATATGACTGCGTAAGAGAAAGTTACATAAGATGTATTATAGCTCAACACCTTGAACTGGTAAATAATCCAATGTAAGTTTGCTTGATGACGTTGTAGATCACCGCGGGAAAGCTTGGATTAATTGATGTCAAAAGTTCTAAGTTTTGTTTTTTGCATTCAAAAATGAACGAACTAAGGAAGTAGCGTCTTGTATACATTAATTTAACTCGGATTTCAGTAAAGCTCAAGTTGAAAATTGAGGGATTCTCATGGTTTATCAGAGAATTTATCAGAGCCTCCCAGCAACCGATGTCTTCATGAGACTTTAATGTGGAAGAATTCTTACTTCAGCCGTCTTGATATTTTTTCCGTCTGTGAGATCAAACACTGGTAAAAAAAACACATTGTATCTAGAGTCCAGACTCTTGAAAACATTGACAAGAAAAAGGACTCTTGATTCAATCAGATTTAAGCTTAAATCAAGAACCAAGCCTCTTAATTTGAGCGGATTTCCTTTTGATTTAAGCTTAAATCTGATTGAATCGAGAGTCCTTTTTCTTGTCAATGTTTTCAAGAGTCTGGACTCCAGATCCAATGTGTTTTTTTATTTACCAGTGAACTATAATAGATTGCACGACAGTTTTTTGCTTTAGTAGGATCTACATTTCTTAAAATTACTTTTTAAGTGTGCGAAGCGGCTTTCCCGGTTGTTTAACAGATTACTTTCACCGCTTTTTCAGCCGAGCCCGGAAGCGAATCATCCTCTCGAGCCAGTTCCCAGAGGTAGTCAACTCGGCCGGGTTCGAGGACAAGACGCCGCTCATCTTCTTCTTCCTGACGTCGGCGGAGCGGCACTGGGTCGTGACGGCGCCACGCGGCTTCGGCAAGCGCCTCAACACGGACATGCTCCACACGTTCTTGGAGCGCCCGTTGGGCCCCGACGGGTGCGACGACGCCCCGCGCCGCATCCGCCTCGAGCGCCTCTTCGCCGGTGGGCGCCTCGGCGTGGCGCGGCATCTCCGGGGTGACGTCGCCGACGCCTTCCTCGCCCGCCCGGTTCTCCGCCTTCGTCTGGCCGCCCTCGACGTCTCCACCTACGCCGCATTCCGCCGCTCCTTCACCGACCTCCTACACCGCGAGTTCCGCAGGCACCGGTACCTGGTCACCGCCAACCGGACACCCGCGCTCTTCGCCGACCCGTCGCGCCTCCTCCACGCAGGCTCCGCCGCCCAACTCGCCCGCCTCCTCCGTGCCTACCACGGCAGACAGGTTATTTATCTTTTTTCAAATAAAATCGAAGTGAGAGAGTCCGAAGAAAAACCAAAAACACTAACACACCCAGGTGGATTTTAACACGAACTCGCGAATTAGGGTACAAATTTCTGCTCTCGTGAAGTGGAACGTAAGAACACAAGATTCCAGGAAAAATAATGAAAGAGAGATCGTCACCTCCCAGGCAAAGTATCACAAGCGCCATGCGACGTTTAAAAATTTCCGCCGCCATTATATTTTTTTACGGAGAAATTGTTCAACGAAGCTGTCCGAAAATTTCACTGAATTTTCTTTGTGCTGTCGATAAAATTTAGTGAAATTTCCAAACAGATTCAACCAACAATTTCTCAGTAAAGAAATAAAATGGCGGCGGAAATTTTTAAACTTCGCATGGCGCTTGTGATACTTTGCCTGGAAGGTGACGAGATGTTTATGAGAGAGATCATCACAAATTTCCGAGTACTTTTCCCGACGAAAAGCAGTAGATTAGCTTGAGGCAAAGTAAGGAAATACTACAAGGAGGAAGTTCTAACATTTCATTCAAATCAGTGAAATGCAAACAACCTTGTTCGATATTATGATGCTCTCCCTATAATATGTTCATAGCGCAGGTTCCTCTTCAAAGGCTAGAGATATGGCTATGCATCCACGCAAAATCTCCCACTCATTGAGGCTGTAACCTTTCCTATGTATACCTTGGCAATTGCGCCACTTCCCGTCTCTTCTTAATTATTTGTATCTGCGCAGGTGATCTTCTTCCTGGAGGAGCACGATCAACCGTTAATGTCTGCGCTGGAGGATCCGCGCTGCTCGGACGGGGACCTCCGCAAGATGGTGGCGTTCTTGGGGCGGCTCGTCAAAGGCGTGATGAACTGCGGTCACGTGGAGCGCTCTCTCGTGACTGGCTGCTCCCTCCTGGGCCGTACCTACACCCGCGTGGCCAACGGCCTCGTCTACCTCCGTAACTTTGACCACCCGGCCATCGCCAAGTACTACGGCTTCTCCGCGGCGCACGTAGAGCGTCTCGCCACCGCCTTCCGCCGGGGCAAAGAAGTGGACAGAATGAGGCAGTGGTACGACCGCTACCGCGTCGAGGGCACCTACAGCGTCTTCCGCCCTCTTTCAGTCCTCCGCTACCTCGAGCACGACAAGTTCCGCCCGTACCCGGACCCTCACCCGCTACCGCTGCTGGCCGCTTTCCAGTTCGACGAGATCTCTGAGCTGGTCGAGAGGTCGCTGACGCAGCTCTCGCGCCTCGAGGCCGTCACCGATGACACGTTTTTGAGTGTTGACGAGTTGGTGGCCCTGCACTGAGAAAAAGCTATGGTTTATAAACCTATTAGTGGTAAATATGGAACACCTATAATAGTCGTAAATAAACTAATGATTCTCGGTCTGTGAACCATACTAAGGTCTCTGTACCTAATTAAGGTACAGAGACCATAACTAAGGTATATGTGCTATTATTATATGTAGAGGTACTACTATTAGTGGTGTTCCATATTTACCTCTAATAGGTTTATAAGCCATAGTTTTTTCTCAGTGTGAGGAGGTACCTGCGGCGCCACGAATTGGACCCCCGCTGGGCGGAGGTGTACCCCCGCTGGGTCCTCCAGCACCTCCTCGATCACGGATACTACACCGTCAACAATACGGTCGACACCGCCGCCGCAGTGGAGATCAGAGTGACCAACCGCGAGAGGGCGTTGCAGCTTAGGAACGCGCTGTACACGCGGACTTTCTTGAAGCGAAGGTATTGGACCGCACTGGGGGGAGAAAGACAGGAAAAACCAGGCGAAATAATTAGAAAGGTGTCAAATATTATTAGACTACTTATTTTCAGCCAGCTAACCCGGCAATAGGTGTTGCGCATCGACCGAGTTAGTGCCGTGCACAGCGATTTTAGGGTTATACTCCGACTGTGCAGTGCGTCACTGTATTTGTGCGTACCTCAAAGATCGATGCAAAACTTCGAGTTAGATCTGTTCAACACAAAGGTCGATGCACAGCCCTAACTGGGTTGGCTTACTCGAAGTCGCACCATTTCACCACAGATGTCATGTGGATGAGATTCAGTGATAAGATGGTAGTCAATGTACAAATAAATACGTAGAGCCACGCAGGTTAAATGACCAGGCACATTTTTTTTTCAATCATGCAATGAAGACCTCACAAAAATTTGGAGCGTTTATTAGTATGTCTTCATTCAATTTTGAAATGGATAAGGAAAATAAGACACGAATGAAATTTTCATTTTCAACATTAGCGCCTAGTTCAGTTTTTCTCGAATATATGACTTGACTCCTCTCTACTTAACTGAATCAAAATTTTGTTTCGTTTTCTGTTAAGAACAAAAATATTAATAAAAAAAAATACATATACATTTGCATGAGAGGTAAGCAACGTCTGATGTAGTTTGGTCGATTCCGGTCAGATCCTTTACAAGTTGGACAAACTGCAAAACGACCTGCACTTTAAGAGTGACATGACTCCTCAAAAGTCAAAAGTATCTATGAAAATGAGGAAAGACACGGATACGACACCACTGACAATATTACTTCTTTTACCTGCAGCCTGATTATTGAAATTGTGTGTTTGTCGGGTGGAAATGGATGACCTAGGTTAAATGGCGAGGCGTGATTGGTTGGCCATGTCTTTTCGTTGCTTTGTCGTGCTTTGTCGGGTGGAATGGACGACCTCTTGAGTATCCGACAGTATGTTGTCCAGTCCACCCAAAAAAGCAAGACATAGCAACGGTAAGACATAGCCAACCAATCACGCTTCGCCATTTAACCTATGTCATCCATTTCCACCCGACAGATGCCGCAATCAGACGCTGAATTTAGCAGCTGAATGTGGAAGTCAACAGTCATCGCCCAACGGCTGAAATTTAGCAAATTCGAGTTATTTTCATCCAGGTGTGTATCAAATCTATTCGAATAGTTCAGACAAATTCAAAATTGGTCCGATGGTTGCTGAGAATCGGTGCGCGAAGGTGCGTGCGGTGAGAATTTTGCGCGTCACGCGGAAAATTCAGGCATCGGGCCGATGACTTCCACATTCAAGCCACATTCAGCTCCCACATTCAGCGTGTGATTGCGGTGAAACACAAGATTTCAACAATCAGGCTACTGGTGATTTACATTAGAAACGCTTAATATACCATGTTTCAATTAGTGAATTTTTATTTTGTAATCCAGATACCAAATCACGGATGGTGAGATGGAAGCGTACGTGACGGCCCTCGCACGGCTGACCCAGGACCGGCGCGACCTCTTCGTGGAGTTCATGAACGTGACGAGGAGCCTCCTCGGGAAACCCTCCGTGAAGCTGGAGAAAGACATGTTCCTCATCCTCTACCACGCAATCACCAGCCACGAGGAGCGGGTGTTCCAACGCTGGGGCGGCCAGAAGCGGGTCTACAAAGCCTTCTCCAGGAAGAGGTTGAAAGCCATCGAGGTGAACGGATCCGACAAGGAGCGAGGCTGGGCGTTCCGCACCTTTTCCCGGCTCAAGTGGTCTCGCGCGAGACCGAAACGGGAAATGATACCCGAAGGGGCGTTTACGGTCCTCGATATCTACGTCGTGACGAAAGATAGGGTAGGGATCGTTCTGGAGTTGAAATACGACAAGACAACTGCGTTCCGGGCCCTCGAACAGATCGTAGACTCACAGTACTACAAGATCTTCTCCGAGAAGCCGCACTTACCGTGGGCGCTGAGGAGTCAAGTCTACATCGGGATGCGCTATCAACCCAAAACACGTGGACTCTCCCTGAGCTACTTGTATGATTCTAGGAGTCTGAGTAAAGCTGTCAATATTACGACGGTTATACCTAAGCCGATGTCGCTTGAAAAGCAATTAAGAGCGCAGAAAAAGACGAAACCCACCCGGGCTGTTGGGCCGCGGGAGAGGAAAAACACGGTGAGGGCAAAACCTGCGGTTGTCACGCTGAGACCATCCACTTCCGCCGATAGAAAGGTTATGTCACTGATTGGCAGGATTGTGTCGAAGCTCAACGTTTTTAGAAGCAGGACCACGGTCACAGCCTTAGTTGCTACTTCCTTTGTGACGCAAGACTCAATCACGGTTGAGCCGAAGAGACGCCGTCTTGCACAAAACACCGGCCAACAAACTTCACCCAAAACCGGCATCAGTGTGGATAGCTCAAAAATTACGACAGAAAACATAGTTAGAAAGAAAAGTCCAGAGGATAAAATAAATCGAATACATTGTTAGTCGCGATTAAAAAAACGAGAAGGCGTGTAGCTCGTGCAACCAAGTTCATGGAAAGCTATCATCGGAAATGATAGATGGTTCGAAAGAACGGCAGGAAACATAGTTGGAAAGTCATGGCTTAGGGAAATATAGGCAATCAAAGGCATTCTCAAGCACAGTGGACGTATTTATGCTAAATGGAACTATGTGCAAGCGGAAAGATGGGGTGTGCTAGTTAGTTAAGGGCCATAAGAATGAATGAGGATTTTAAAGCGCCAGTGACGTCAACGGCAACGAGCCCGTCCACGTCGTCGTTCTCGGTCGTCCTTTACGCATGAGCCCTGCTCACAACGCTTTTGTCGCATGTCCACGGCTTAAGAGTTAGCGCTCAGTTCCTTTTGATTTAATGTCCAATCCCGCTTTTCAATTTTCTCAAAAGGAACTATATCCACTTTTACGTTGTTTCTTATGCAGCTTCCACGAACACACCCCATCTTTCCACTTGCACTTAGTTCCTTTTCGCATAAATACATCCAGTTGACAAATTGAGTAAGTGTGTAGCCCGAAGGAAGATCCAAAAACGTGGAACTAATGAAAAATACGGTAGAAAACACGGATGTAAATGTGGAATCGGGAAGGTCGTAGAAATTGGTAAGATAGATTTTTTTCCACCTAAGGTAACAGGTTGTTGCTAAGTTAAAACAAGGAAAGATCCAAAACCGTTACAACGGCTGCTTTGCGACAGCTTCACAGGCGACGCTTGCTGCGAGGCAATAGTGATGAAGCCATTCCCTCATGTGCTGGTTACACGCTCAATTCCCATCAATTTCCAATCAAATGGTGACTGGTGCGCACCATCTACTATCAAATTTCTGCGGCCTGCACAAATTTGATGGTAGATGATGGAACTGTGGGGCTCATCCTTCATCTGATTTCCACACAACCGTGCTTATTTCGTGCTTATTTCAATCAACACGCTGTTTTAATTAATTTTACTCATCAATCTAGATAACTCTCGACCGCCATCTTGGTCATCATTTTGATCGGAATTTGACGGAAATTTGGGCGTGTAACCACGCCATTAGAGGGAAAGCTCGTTTGAAGGTACATCGTTCACTGCGCTAAATAAACTTCGTAATGGGCCGAACAGAGATGTTCTGCATAATATGCAGAACTACAATAGGCCATTACACGAGACATATGAATTAAAGGGAAACGCGTCTATGAGATGTCCTCGAACCTAACTCAAGACTTGCGTTGAAACTTAATTAGCTTTTACTATGATGTCAAGCTTATTTTATAGTATCTTTCGATGTAATGACGGCTAAGATGTTATGTCAAGCTTTAATTCCTACCGTTTTTAAGTATACGCCCAATGTATCATTGCATTGGAAGTTCGTTTTGGCCCCAACTCCCTCTTTTTTCTCCGTGCTTCAAGTGGATAATCTCCATGTTATATTGTGTGCTGAAGAGTTACGATTACTTTTGCAAGGCCGAAGTTTTTCAAAAAAACCATACAAACAAACCACTGTAAAAAATTACACGAGACACATGAAGTATTAGACAACGCGTTTGTAAGACGTCTTCATTATACCACGGAGACTTGCGTTGAAACTTAATTAGCTTTCACAGATGTCAAGCTTATTTTTTAGTACCTATCTTTCGATGTAATGACGACTAAAATGCCTTCTGAAGCTTTGATTCCTGCCGTATATAAGTAAAGGCCTATCATTACATTGAAAGTTCGTTTCGGCCCCAACTTCCTCTTTTTTCTTCGTGCTTCAAGTGGATAATCGCGATGTAATATTGTGTGCTCATGTGTTGCGATTAATTTTGTAAGGCCGAAGTTTTTTAATAAAAATCATGCAAACAAATCACTGTAAACAATCATTCTATTCAGTTGCGCTTGGGAATACAAAAAATTCGACATTTCTGTGTTCAATGTTCGAAACTTTTCCCATTCTAAACCTGAATATTCCTGGTTTTCTGAGGAATGAAGTTCTACGGATATTCCAGAAATATTCCTGCGCTATATCGGAGGTATCGAACTTCTTGATAACAGTCTAATACTGTGTACGAGCACACATGTTCTCTAGATCGGTATTTGAAGTAACGACGAGGAATTAGTGGATGAGTAAATTAACTGAAGGGACTCAGTAAAGCTTCACTGTGGATGTATAATAAACACGACTTTATCAAATGATCTTACTCAAACGAACGCATCTTCAGATGCACCGTTGCGCGCTGTGTAGACTGCAACAATAAACATTTATGGTAGAGGGTGCGCGCTGAGGAGGTAGGGGAGTTGAAAGAAAAGTAAATTGCGGCCGGAGTAGAATGATAACACAACAACAGTAGAGACATACAACAAGATTCAATTACCAAGAGAGATGAGTTGCAGGAATATGAGGGTGAGGCTGGTGCGAATTTTCCGGGCCATGTCTCGGACTCACTGACCGAAACGAGGGGCGCACCACACACTAGGCTTTCCGCATCGTGTTCGTTTCTCGCGCGACCCCGAACTTTTGAAATTCGCGCCCTCTTGCGGGCATCGTCTCGGCGATCAGCAGAAATATGACAATTTACCGAGCTCTCACACGAGAGGAAATAAACGGAGGATATTTCGGGTACACGGCACGTACCCTATTTTTGACATCATTATCACGCTTCAACTTTGCAATTCACGTTTTTGATTATTTTAAAAAAAATAAAGAATAACGGGTAGGCTGAAATATTGAAATCACGGGGGAAAAAAGGTTTGGGGTTATCCCCTCAAGTGATGGTTCTTCCGGTTATGTTCAAAAATTAAAGAATAACGAGTAGGCTGAAATATTGAAATCACGGAAAAAAGTGTATGGGGGGGGGGGGGGGGGGGGGGTATCCCTTTAAGTTCTGGTACTACCCCAATTTGCTATATGAACATTTCCGATTAATTAGGTAGTATCGGAAAATTTGGGTTGGTAACCTAATTTGTTGGGGTACTACCACAATTAATTGGAGATGTACATGTCATCCAACAGTTGCGACTTAACCCCTACTTCTTTTCTACCATGATGAGTTTAAAAATTGAACCTCACATTCAGGAAAGAATTTACGGTTAGAGTAGAGCAGAAATCAATCATTGCAACGCCATATGTAAAACTGCACCAACGCGTTTATCGTTTAAGGTGTTTTAAAATCTCCACTCTTGTGTTCTTATCAAAGGAAAACGAATCAACGGCACTGCTTGAAATTTTCACAGGGTACCTATCCCTCGCACAAAGTGAAAAAATCAGAAAAGGTTTTCAAAAAAAATATGTTACGGATTTTTTTGTACGAAGACTGAAGTAGGTATAGCAGGAAGTCTGCGACGTTGCAAACCAAGACGCTTACACGTATTCCTACAGTTTCACCGACGGTGCATGTTTTCTCATCAAGGATACAGGAATAAGCCGTGGGACACTTAGAATTTTAAACTTGTAGGTGAGAAATCTGCGTTTTCCTTTAGGTCCATTCAGGACCAAAATGACCATGCGGTGAAGGTAGCGTTTTCTGCGGGTGCCGGTCTGCTCTCGGCTCGGTACGTATCTTTCAGTAAATTCGCAGTTCTCCTAACGAAAAGACGTAGCTGCACTTCAATGATGCCACATTTCCTCTAGCAAATTGCATTTTTACTAATGGTGAGAGAGTTTGGTGCATTTCCGACTGAAAAAATGTCATCGATTTTCTTCCGAACTAAGGCTCGAATCAGTAAAATTTTCGACAAAACTTGCCTAGGCATGTTCTTGGAAGGAAATTAATTATTCGAGTCAATTTGGCAACCTTGGAATGAAGTCACGTTCCGTCGTCCTCGAAACGACGAATTGGCCGAATCGCGAAAACACTACGAATTTCGTCGATGGGGACGCACAGTGGATCGAGTCAATTAGGGAGGTCGAACATGAAATTTTTTACTGAAACTGCAAATTTTAATTTGTATTGAGTCACATTTTAAACTGCATGGGGTGCTTCTAGAAGAAAATGTGACGAGAAAACCAATGGAGCCACTTATAGAACCTCAAAGTTTTGTATAAACGGAGTAACGAGCATTTGAAGTTTCCACACTCTGTCCGACCTCTCCCATTGGCTCGAACCACGGTGCGACGGTCTCCGTTTTATACGAAGATGGGTCGGCTGTGTGGACGCATAATCGGACTACATTTTAAAATTTGGAACTGTAAATTCTAGCCCAGTTTAAAAACAACGCATGTGCCATTAGTTTCCCTATGCACATGAGTGTTTTTCCAGAAGAGCCAGAATTTATAGTTCCAAATTGCAAAATGCAGTCCAGTTTGTTTTTCCGTGATTTCTCCAGCACTATGTCCGTAACGCATCATTCGAAGGAGGATAATTATTTACATCAGAGACACTGTAGAGAATGCCAATTCTTTACGGCCTCTTTTCCACTCCTTGTAGGAAAACACCATTGAAGAAACGAAGTCTTGCAGTGTTTAAGACAATAAACGTTCATCCCTCTCTAAAGTGCTGATTTTGGGTATTTATCGGAAGTGTATTTGACGTATTCTGCATGAAATTATGATGAGAAAACACGTCCTGAGGTGTCCTTCGTACCGTATCCAGTGGCTCCTGAATTACTGGATAAAAAAGCGGCCCCGGCGAAACGGAGAAAAAATAACACGGTTATTCCACGGCTACCACGATAGTAGAGTAGGTAATGTCACGCGGGACTCCACGATATTGGATCCGTGGCTTTCGGTAAAATTGGTGAGCATAGTAACATAACCATGCTCATATTAGTATTTTTGTGTACTCAGTAATAATACGGTGAGCAAGATAACATCGCCGTGCTGATCAGTGGCGTGGCGTGAATAATCGATTATCGATATCTCGCCATTTGAAACTACGGTAAAGAATCGATTACTGAGGTGTTCGCTGCGAACACCCTGATAGTCGATCTTTTTTCATAGGTTTAAATGGCATAACAATCGATATATCGCGATTCACGCCACGCCACTGGTGCTGATCATTACTATCATCAAAGTCCGCGGTTCTACTAACCTGGAAACCCGTGTAACGTTACTACCGTGATAGCCGTAGAATAACAGTGGTTTTTGTTTCTCGGTGCAGGCATGTAGCATTCATTAATATCCTCGTTTTGCTAAATGAAACTCTTACTTCATAATCACAATGATGACTTGAGAATGCGATTGGGAATCTGCAGGTGTCCGACATTTAATGAATTTCGTGTTTCAGTGGAAACCACTGAGAGAATTAACACCCTTGCGGTATAAATTGAACAATTATTGGAGGAGATATGACAAAGTTGTCTAATCTGCCAATAGAATGCTTGGGTTTAAATAGGAAATGCATCCAGATGAGGTCACTAAACGGGGCATTTTCTCACGTGTATATCTACTTTTAAACTATTTCCCATACCGGAGAAAAATTATAAAAAATACTGCGAAATCAGCTACTCAAGCATTCAGCAATAAAACATTTCCGTGCAAGGTCTCCATTGATCAATGAGCAGCTATAGGTAAAAGAGCGTAGTTAACTCGGCTACGAAGAGCCAGAAGTTGGCTTCTCCATTGACATTCATGAGTTGAGTCTCAACTTTTGGCGGTAGTCACCGAGTACAAAAATCCGTATAAATCCCATGTTTCTGCACGAAATATTGACGGAGGTTATCCCTATCCGGTCATGGGCGTTTTATCAACAAGTGAGCATGTGATTGAAACGGAGCTTTTGGATACGAAAATTTTCCATCTTCTGGCATTATATTTTACTGATATTTAATTAATCATTAGAGCAATGAGCATAGGAGATTCAATTTCTGGCAAATTATTCAACTTGAGTGCATTACTGGCTTCCGTGCTGGAGCTGCTCTTCTTTAAAATGCATACATAAAAATTATGAAATAATTTTCATTCT